GCTTAAGTGAACCCATGGTGTGAATAGTCTGCTGGTAAAATCCTACTTCATTTCATGCATATTCATTTGATAGCCAGTATGCAGTACATACTGATTAAGTATGCAATGGGGGCTTGTTGACTCCAGAGAGCTAGAATGTTATCAGGGCTTGACATTACGCTTTGTCAGCTAGTTTCCCTTCTGACAAATAGCTGAGGTGTTTAACTTACTACTTACTTACTTGTCCGAAATAGAAAATATGGGCCTATTGATGAACAATTGGACCACGAAAACGTCAGAAATTCAAAATGTTGTCCTTAAACGTTGTTACTGTCATCTATAGTGTTATTTTGCATAAAATACACAATTCAAAGGATTAGGAAATGCATGATTATATTTTTCTTTAAATATTGGCTTTGATAAAAAATGTAGTAATTTTTTTAATGTAATATAAGCTGCTTATAACTATTGTCAAACGGGGCATAATTCCCTCTCTAATATCTATTTTATGTTGCTGTGAAAACAACTGGATTTATACGTTTTTCACCAAAAACTACATTCTATAAGATTACATTTGAACATATTAAGAAAACGTTGTGTTTTACCTTTGTCCAATACTAATTTTTACAGTTTGGAGCTTGAAGCCCCCATTAGCTCTGTTATTTAGCCAAGCAGAAGAGTGCTGCTAACAGGGATGGTATCGTTAGGAATTTATCCATACTACTACTCTTATCAATACTTCTCGGTTTGGTTCTTTAATCGAGACTCTTATAGGTTCTTTTTCATTTCTAAATAATTTCTTATGAATGTATTATTCAAAAATAATTAAATGGAGAACAGGATTGGGATGTATCTACTGTTTCTAGAGCAGCAACAGTAATGTTTACAACAGCAAAGTCACTTTATGAAGTCATTATCTCACTGGAAACAAATCTAATATGTCAATAAGATGATTCATTTTACTGAGTGAAGTCTATAAAGAATGAAGAGCACAGACATGAACCAGTGTCCTCCCTCTGTGATTCACTGTCTGCAGGTACCGCTGGTAGAGTTTGTCTCTGCCAGCAGATACGTTTACAACAATTATAAGATTTGCAGCAGACTAAGCCTAACAGTTGGACGACATATTGACAGCTGTTATTTTAGCTTGTTGCTGTGCTTGTGTAAACAGTGGCGGTGGATGAGAGACTTCAGACAGAGCCCATTGAAATATCGCTTTTCTTCATGTTCACATTATGTTTATGCTTGTTGAACAGGTGTATTGATAAAATACTGACTTTTTAGTCTGGAACGTTTTATTGCACTTCCAGTAACGAGAGTAGTTGTCATAGTTATCTTTACTTAAAGTGGTTCACTTCGCCATCTCCATCGCGTCGTTGTAGCTCTGCTGTTTGCTGGCTCACAGAGAGCTCAGGCAGAGACTGCAGCGTGATAATGCTTTACACCAAAATGCTAGAAACGACCGAAAACAGAACCAATAACATAGCAGATTATCAATACTTCAATTTAATTTATTTTTTATACCCCAAAATCACAAATTTGCCTCAGAGGGCTTTACAATCTGTGTACATACGACATCCTCTGTCCCAGGACCCTCACATTGGAACAGGAAAAACCCTTTAACAGGGAAGGAAGAGACCTTAGGGAGAGCAACAGAGGCAGGATCCCTCTACCAGGATGGACAGAAGTGCAATAGATGTCATGTGTAATTCAATTTATTATTAATGAAAACTCCACGTACAAGCACAATTTGGAAACCTTTTTTATCCAATTTCTCCTCTCCAAACATCTTAGTTTGCACATATTTAGATAAGAGAAGTATTTTGCTGGTGGTGTGCTCACGAACCCTTTTAATAAGTTCAGTGTTTGGACCCCTGTTATTATAGAATCCTGCTTACGTCCGTGGTTGCCAGTAAGTGGCGCTATGACTATGAGTTAATCAGTGGTGGGCCGTCAGGGCCTGCAAGGCCTTCTCTGCTGGCCTAAACAGAATCACAAAGCTATATCTATTTTATAATTTAATAATTTTTCTTAAATACACACTACATGTATTATAATTTATAAAAATATTTTTCCCATTATCTTATTTTCTCAATGCACAGCTACTGTCTTCCTCAGTTGCTCTGCTTCCAGTGCAGCTTGTTTTAAGTAGAGCTTTTATCCAATCAGATCTCACCTCTGTGTCTCTAGGTAAGAAGAGAGGCCCGAGGCCTGCAGACTCACAAGTGCATCCATGTGCAGTTTAAATGAATGGGGGCGATATTGTTGATTGTCATAGTCTTCAACCAATCAGATCTTTAGTTTGACATGTTGGGCATATTCTTTTTTATGTGCCAGAGCCTGCTAGCTGGCCTAAGTACGTCAGCATTACGTGCTGCTCAGTTTCCAAGTGCAGCTCAGCAGTGAGGTACAGCGTGTGCTGTGATTGGTCAGTGGGCGAGCACGTGACTATCGTGAAACGAAAATTAACAGCAGAGGCTTAGTCGGTGTTGTGAATCACATCACGTGATGCAGCTCAGCCAATCAAATATGGGCATTCTGACAGGTTTCCTGACTCGAGTGAGATGTACCACACACCGTGACACATGGGGGAGAGACAAGGAAAGACATTGCAGAGCAGTACGTTTAATGTTCAAGTTGTGAAAGTAAAATCATAAGACATCTCTTTGTCATTAATGAATGATGGTGGGTCCCACAGCCAGACCAGCTGAGAACCACTGTCAAAATGCAGAAGCTTAACTTCAGGAAAATATGTTTTCCACATGAGTGTGGAAAACATATTTTCCTGAAGTTAAGCTTCTGCATTTTCCAAATGCTCAAGTACTATTCAAACGTATTGTAAGCCTCGTACCGAACGGTTTAATATGAATACGTACATAGTTACAGCCTTAGAAATTAAAAATAAGTGTGGCGCAATCATGTGGTTATAAGGTGGTAGTTCAGCTGCAGGACAGCAGTGAAGGCCTAGGTATAAAATGCACAGCCCGCCACTGGAGTTAATATTGGCATGCAGACACTCATCAAGCACGTCAAGTTTGGGACAGTTTTGGCAAAGTACAGTCGAGTTACAACAGCTTGATGTATGATGGTGAACCATGTAAAATGGCCGGCACACCAAGTCCACGTCGTTCGATGAAACCTCAAGCTTTTAGTAACTTTTAATCGCTAACAGCTGTTTGTGTGGCGTCTCTTCTTGTTTCCTTCACCTACATTCCCCTGTCCCTCCATGTACAGCTTCTTATCGCCCTCTATCTACCAACGTACATTTATAACAAATACCACACATATTACAGTTACAATCAACGTTGTGTATGTGTGTATATATATGTATGTGTATGCATACATGTGTATGTATGTATTGTGGCAACCCGGGGGACGTGGAGGGAAGATTCAGAGATAAAACAGGAGACTCAGAGACAGTAACCATATAACAAAAAGTGTCCTTTAATAAACAGGGTAGGGTAAAGCGGGATAGGGTCAAACTCAACAAAAGATTCCTCCCGGTCGGGGTCTTTGGCCTTCGGTCTACACCCAGTGTGAGACGATTCCTCCGTCCTGTTTGGGCAGAGCAGAGGAGAGAGGTGAGTCCGCTTAATTACCTCCGGTCTGCTGTCTCCTCTCCAGAGGTTCAGGAGATCCTTGTATCCTCTGCCCAGTCTGTCTGCCGCTGCTGCTTCACAGCCCTGGGAACATATGCTCATTCTAATTAGCTCATGGGCTGCAGGTGTGACCACTGCCACGTGCCTAGTGGCTGCAGCACCTGCACCGGATAGTATACTCCCTCTATCACCTCCCCCAACCTGAGCTTGGGGATCCGCCTCCTGTGCTGTGTCTGCTCGGCTTTTCCCCCTGGTTTGCCACACACCCCTCCACCAGCTCCAGGTGGGGGCTAGGAGCGTCGAGAATTGTCTAATCAACCAAAAATTTCGCGGATCCCCTGCAGTACCTGGGGGTCCGTGGACCCTCTGTTGAAGACCTCTGGTTTAGAGCATAGACCCCTAAGACTTTTTTTAAGTCTACATGTGATACATCTGCTTACCAAATTTTATACATCTAGGTAGTGCTGGGTGGCATATCAGACTGCAATTTTTGCCACGACTGCCTTGCTTGCCAAATTTCAAGATCTTACCAGTACCCCAAGCACCTCCTTTTCGCGATGAGACGTATGATAATAATAATAAACATCAGAATAACAATAGGTCCTCCGCTCCGACTACGTCGGTGCTCAGGCCCTAATTACACTTGCAAATAAAAATATCCCCATGGTTGAAATTATGAGATAGAAAGTCATAACTACGAGATAGAAAGTATAACTTTTAATATCATATATATGTATGTATGTATGTATGTATATATATGTCTAAATTCTAAGATACTTTAACACAACAGTCATAGAAGCAGCTCTTCATAGGTTACCCTACATTTGACATAGAAATGGATTGTGAGTACATTGAAGACTACTTTAAACGTGGATTTACAACACATGAAATACTTCACGTGGGGTTGTACTCGGCAAACGCACCCGTGAAAGGATTTTAAGCAAGAAGCAGCTCTGGCGTAGAAAGAATAAAACCGATGTGGCTGAGGTAGCAACCTTCCTTGAACAACAACTGGAAACATCTGGTCAGTGTCATTGTTACAGATGGATGCACCAAAAGTGCCATGGGAATATTTTTGTTATCAAGTCTAACTTTTCATCTTTTTTTTGTAAATAAAAATGTTGCTGCCAGAAATGGGCTTCCATATAAAAGGCATGATTGTCTTAAAATTGAAGTCTATGCTGCTTCACAAGCATAGTACAGTGACCATAAACTACATCTCCCCCAATGCATGTAGACTTTGTGACCTGCAAAATGACGGCATCCTGCCGCTAGACGGGATTTATATTATAACAGAAATGTGCGTAAATATATTTTTACATTTATATAACTGCATGTGCAATATTTTTACACTTGAATAAACAATAATCAAATGCAGTTATTTAACAATATGTTAGGAAGTAGTTACATTTATATAGTCTTACAGTTACAACCGGCCCTTTGAGGGCAACCATAATGCTGATGTGGCCCTGAGTGAAAATGAGTTTGACACCCCTGTCCTCTATAACTGCTGTTGCTGTTCATGTTGCTAACGTTGCTAGCTCTCCTGCTGACTTCAACAAGGATCTGTTGCTCATAATGTGTCATTATCAGACTAGCCGTAATGCCGATCTCCAGATATTTTTACTGAATATTCTGCAGTAAAACTTTTATTACACTCAGATGGTTAAATCCATGGACTCCCTGGCCATTTTATATCCAAAATGCTCCCACTGCCAATTAACAGCACTTTAATAAGGCTGGAGTGTTGGTTCCCTCTGAAATGTTTACAAGTCTTCAGGCGAGTGGCACGACTCCCACACATACACACAATGTATTTCAATGCAGGAATCAGGACACCATGGATATCACAGCCTCTTTCATTTGTATCGTTATTAAACTGGGATTTACATATTCCCAGTTATTACAAAATGGTTAATCCCAACATCCCTAATTGAAATACAAAAGGATATAGTTCATGTAATATATTTTTGATATTTGGCGTTCATGTATCGATGCAATATTGCCCCATATAACGACATTTATCACGGTTATCTGGTAATTCAATAGTCTATGAAATAACTTCATGGTAAAGCCTATTTATGTATACTCCTGTGTGCTTTGAAAAACTTGACAAACAAAAAGTACTCAGTATTCAGAACTTCAGTGCAAAATTAACTAATTAAATAAATCTAGGCCTCACCTACATCTCATCTAAATAAAAATGTGTAACAAATGTAATTCAGGTGATAAATGCAGCATTTTACAGGACAGGTAGCTAACATCAAGGCCCATATTAATGGATACACTCCATGGTCCGAATCAACTTCATGTAAGTCCTACATAACCCTGCTGATTAAGATATTGAGTTGGTTATGATAACAGAGGTTAGCTGTGGAGAGAAATTTTGTTCTACTTTTAGACCTGCTTTGTTCACATTCGGTGTAAAAGCAATATACAAGTGATGGCCATGTAGTGTGCTAACATCAACCATTCATTTACATGTCTGTTGTCTGGGTGTGTGCGCTGCTTCTCCATAGATTTGATTTATCCGTTAACCGTTGTATGTAGTACAACAGAGGTACTGTTTCTACATGTGGCCACAAACACTGTTAACACTTTTCTGTATTCTGTCATCGGTCCCCACTCTAAATATGCTTGTAGTGGGGGCCGATGTGTGGCAAACTTTACAGAACATGGTTTTCTGGTCCGTGTCTGACTTTGGTACGAGCTCTCCTTGGTTTGGAGCATGTTGTGCTCTCTCGAAGCAAAACAGCTGTTCTCTCCAGCTTCGCTGCGCTCTAGCTCCTACATGCAAAGAACGTAAAGAATCGACCAAATTACCTACATTTTGCTGACATCACGATAGAAACGTTATCGAACAAAAACACAATAGACATTTTTATTTCATTTGACAGTATATCGTCATATCGCCCAGCCCTACTGTACAAAACATCAATTGATATGCTCTCCTCAAAACCACAAGACTTCATTGCCAGACTCTGCAATTTTACCTCATGAATCATTGTAAAAAGCACCTCATTCAAACTCGGAAGGAATCTCATCAAAACTGTTGAACAGTGGAAAGACTAACCAAGACAATCATCAAGTCTACAGAAGCTTGGCATTAGTAGTTTTAATGATGTATTATGAGCTGCTTCGAGCTAGTGTGAGGAAGTTAAACGGGTCGTAATTCCCTCTCTATCTGTTTCATATTGCTGTGAATATGCAGTGTTTCCCATTATTACCTAGACTCTTGAGGACCACCAAGTCTATTCTGTCCTGCCACAGTTTCATAATGAACGGAAAATAGTTCTACACTCAATGGGTAGGCTGGTTTGGCTCTCCGCATGCGCGTTTCCTCCACAGTGGACAGTGACCGGCTCCAGTTGGGCTCTGAAAATGAAAGTGGCTCGTGTCAGCGTTACAGCTCTCTGTCTGCGGGGAGCGACGGGAGTTCCGTTTTCCTGGCGTGACTGTCCTCGGTACAGTCTTAAAATATGGAGCCCATCTCATTTACAGTGCTTCGTGAGTGTAACTTCTTTGCTGTGTCATCATCATTCATATTTATGCAACCTATACACAACCAATGTGTTTATGATTAAGTTATTTACTAGAACTCAGAATAAAGTAAAAGTACTTCTACTTAAGCTACATTCAAAATGTAGCTTAAGTAGAAGTACAAACTTATTGGCATTCAATTTTTTTACTAAAAGTATACTCATTATGTAGATGCCCATATCCAATAATATATTTATGGTAGGCCTAGATCACTGATGTACTAATATGATAATCACTTTTAATGTCGCAACTGGTAAAGGTGGAGCTCATTCAATTTTATTTTAGAAAGCATTAATGCCGATTTGTCAATCGCACATTTTTTACTGATTGACAGCTGATAATGTTGAGGACCGCGAATAGATCACATTTCATTTTCACCTCCCCGATCAAACAACTGCATGAGGCATTACACCTGCCCGAGCACAGAGTTTACTTGCCCCAGGCAAGCGTTAATGTTGAGTAAAGTCTGCATCACAGCTTTCATTTGTTCATTATTTCATATAGTGTCAGTGTTTTGTATATCTGTGGAGAGTAGGGCTTTCCTCAATCAAAGAAATTCTTTGACTCTCTAACAACACTCACTTGATTTTATTGACAGACTTTAAAAATTTGTGGAGTTTCTCCTCAAATAATCATGCAAAGGCACCACTTTAAATCTTCTGATTACTAAAGATGGGCTCATTTGTTTCTCAGAAATAAGTAATTCAACATGAAAAGAGCCTAAAGAACAAGTAATGGACTAGAGATCTTAGTTGGTAGCCCTTGTGGATAGAAACCAAGAGACTTCCATATACTTTATCTGCTCTCCTGATAGCCAATATTTTACTCTTTTTGAGCAGAAACACTCCCTCCTTCCCGCTCTATTGGTCCTTAGCTTTAAATGTGGTTTGAGGATGTGTATTAACATACTTTTACATGGCTCCATCTTTCTCATTACAGCAGGCCAATGAGGCTCTGCATCACCAGCACCAAGTAGCCGGGAACAGCCTCTTGCCCTTGCTCAGTTCTGGAACGGAACCACCTGATCAGAAACCAGTGCTGCCCATTCCCTTGGACCAGAAACCCCCCGTCAGTGCTGCAGAACTTCTTAAAGACAATGTGGCTAGTGGGACTGGGGGAGGAGGTGGTGGGGGACCTCTAGTTGCTGTGGTCAAAAAGGAGCCTAAATCAAAGACACCCTTCATCTGTGGCTACTGCAACAAGGCTTTCCGGGACAGCTACCACCTCCGGCGGCACGAGTCTTGCCACACTGGGATTAAGATGGTTTCGCGGCCTAAGAAGACACAAACAGCCCCCACCATGGTGCCGCTCATATCCACTGTACCACGTGAGAACAGTGGAAACCCTTCATACATTACTACTATAGCTGGTATCCTGACTACAGCTACCACATCCACATCCACAGGCACCAGCATCATGACCCCAATGCAACACCAACAGCAGCAGAGCATCCCTAAGAAACCCCCCAAACCAGTGAAAAAGAATCACGGTTGCGACATTTGTGGTAAGGCCTTCAGAGATGTTTACCACCTCAACCGCCACAAGCTGTCGCACTCTGATGAGAAGCCGTTTGAGTGTCCCATCTGCCAGCAGAGGTTTAAGAGGAAGGATCGCATGACATACCATGTCCGTTCCCATGATGGTGGAGTTCACAAGCCTTACATCTGCTCTGTCTGTGGGAAGGGCTTCTCCAGGTATGTGGACATAATTTATTATAACCTGACTGCTGATCTTTGCTAATGGAATGAGGAGTGTAGCAAATCAGTGTAATGTTTTCACTTATTTTGACTCCGTGTCCTAAATGCAACACTATCAGGTTGAGGTGGACAAAGAATGGATCAGTTTTCGATCAGCTTCTTTTCAGCCGATACTTATCGGTTAATGTAAAATTTGTTTAAATCTAAAATAATTCATTGTGTCTATTCAGCAAATTATTTTACAATAAAGTCTGGAAGTCTGGTCTGAAATTACAGTTTCCTGTAAAATGGTGTTTGATTATCAATCTTGCTGTTGAAAGAACTCACTGATAGTTTGTGTGGAATTTGAATTGATAATTGTTTTTCTGACCAATAGTTAGACATATTTTTAATGCTTGGACATGTTGTACATACTGTGAATTTGTTTTTTTTCTTCATATCCTCTTTAGTTACAATCCTGTATTTTTTTTTCCATTTTTTGTCCATTGACGCTAGAAATAATGTAGTGCAAATATTCCACCAGTTCCTGTGTCCACTATGTGGCGCAAGAGAACACGTGTAAACATGCATTATGTTGCTCTATATCAAGTATAGACCACATCATTTAAATGTCATGTAAATCGGATTCCGTTTGTCACATAACGCTGTCTTCTTGTTGCCAGTAGGTGGCGCTATGACTTTGAGTGACAATTGGCTTGTAGACATCCTCAGGCCATGACTGTTATCAAGTTTGGGACAGATTTGAGCAAGTCCAGTGGAGTTACATCAGCTTGTTTTTTAATGGCGAATCACGTACAATGGCCGCCACGGGTACACCATTCCATCAAACGTAAAGCATTGAGTAACTTTTAATTGCAACGGTCTTTAGATTATACTGAACAAATTTGAAGTGGACCTGACAAAGTCCCTAGGAGGAGTTCGTTAAAGTATATAGTGACTAGAAATCATGGGAAAATTCACACAAAATTCAAAATGGCCGACTTCCCGTTAATTTTAGAGCATTGTCCCAAGACACTTTTCTTTAAGTCCATGTGATACATGTGCCTACCAAAATTCATACATGTAGGTCAAACGTAGCGCTGGGGCTGCATTTTTGAATATTTGTAGAGGGCGCTATCGAGTCAATTTGAAAGGGTCAAGCCAAAAAGCCATATGAAATATTTATTTCCATCACCTATGACACCTGTGCAAAGTCCCAAGGCCTGTTGAGCATCCTAAGCCACAGAAAAATAAGCTTCATTTTTCTTGGCGAATGACGCGTTACCACGGCAAAATAGTCCACCGCTTCCTGTATCCGCTGTGTGGCTCTACAAACACGCACCAACATGCATTATGTTGCTCTATATCAAGGATAAATCACATTGTGTAAAAGTCATGTAAATCGGATGCTGTTTGTCAGAAAACGCAGATTTCCTTGGCCAGCAGGTGGCGCTGTGAGTATTAGGGGAAATTAGCTTGTAGACATCCTCAGGACATGAGTGTTATCAAGCACGGGAAGTTTGGGACAAGTCGAGCTGAGTTACATCAGCTTTTTTCATGGGGCTTAGCCCGCTACAGCTAAGCCATTCCGTCAAACATAAAGCTTTTGATAAATTTTAATCACAACGGTCTTGACATTGTACTGACCAAATTTAAAGCGGATCTGACAAAGTCCCTAGGAGGAGTTCGTTAAAGTATAGCGACTAGAAATAGGTCAAAATCTATGGAAAAATGACACAAACATCGAATTGGCCGACATGCGGTATAGTTTGGAGCATAGTCCCAATAGACTTTTTTTAAGTTTTAAACATGTGCCTACCAAGTTTCATGCATGTACCTGAAACGCAGCACTGGGGCTACACTTTTGAAATATTGTAGGGGGTGCTATGGAGACAATTTACAACAACCAAGCCAAAAACCCATGCAAAATAGGTCTTCCCATCACTTACGACACATGTACAAAGTTCCATGAGTTTTTGAGCATCCCAAGCCACTGAACCATCAGCTTCTTTTTCAATGATGCGTTGTCACAGCAACAGTGTTCAACGAAAACTCACAATATTCATGATGAAGCATCTTCAATGTCTTAAGGCTTTCCTTACCAAATTTGAGACTGATCTGGTCAACTTTCTAGGAGGAGTAAATAAAAGTATAAAATGTGACTTTTCCTTTTGCCAGTAGGTGGCGCTATGAGTTATTGAAAATATTGACATGGATGTATGCTCAGACTTGAAGTAGCATCATGCAAATGTAATTTTTTGCAGATTGAACCTTTGAGTTATAACAACTCTATTGTTCATGCCGAATGAGGCCGCCACACCAGGTCAAGGTTCTTCCATGAAAACTCATGAATTTGATGACTTTTCATCACAAAGGTCTGAAGAGCATCCTGACAAAATTTGAAGTCGATCCCATTAATTCTGTAGGAGTTCGTTAAAGTACAAAGGCTGAAAAATACAAAAAGTGACAAAAAAGCACATCGCGGGTTTACTGTAGCGCCCCCTAGTGGTTGAATGAAATTAAAATGTTACGATGTGTTACAGGATGCAATGTGTACATATGCTGCAAATTTGGTGATTTTAGGACAAATGGTTGACAAGTTATGTGTATTAATATATAAGCCACGCCCCTAAGACGTTTATTGGTCCATATCTTCTAAGCGCAAAGATATATCAAAAAGTCTTTGAGAACTTTTGATGATGTAGATCAAATAATGATTCAGAGCAAATTTGGTAGCAATCGGAATCAGCGTGTAGGAGGAGTTTGCAAAAATGTGTTTTTCACAAAATTCAAAATGGCGGAAAATGTAAGTAGGCGGAGCTAAGGGTCTGAGATGCTTTTTTGTAGAGCTAGCGGCCATTTTGAATTTCTATCAATGTAACTTACATCTATGATGTAACTCAGTTGAGTTACATCAGTTTATTTGATCATGGCGAAGGATTGAAATTCGCCGAGCTGCCACGTCGCCGCATTTAACAACTTCTTACAATCTTCACAATGAAGCATTATCAACGTCTTAAGGCTTTTCTGACAACATTTGAGAGGGATCCGATTAATCGGTGAGGAGCAGGATGTAAAAGTATACAACCTACAACTTCTTGTCGCCACTAGGTGACGCTATTACTATGACTCTAAATTGTCCCATAGATGTGTTCAGGGTCAGGATGTTATGACATGAGAGATTTGCCGCAGATTAGACAATTTACGGCCGAGTTACAACAACTTCCTGTTTTATTTTGCAGATTGAATAATGTACCTTTGAGTTATAACAACTGCCCTAATCTCTTATGTCAATGAAATAATGCCACTGGTAAAGCCAAAGGATTTCCATTTTCTTCCTTGTCTTCATCTCACCCTGCAGACCGGATCACCTAAGCTGTCATGTCAAGCATGTCCATTCCTCAGAGAGGCCATTTAAGTGCCAAGTAACGGTAAGAGTCATCACTCTCTGCAAAAAGCAAAAATGCTCACCTACAGTGGGTACGGAAAGTATTCAGACCCCTTTAAATTTTTCACTTTGTTTCATTGCAGCCATTTGCTAAAATCAAAAAAGTTCATTTTATTTCTCATTAATGTACACTCGGCACCCCATCTTGACAGAAAAAAACAGAAATGTAGAAATTTTTGCAAATTTATTAAAAAAGAAAAACTGAAATATCAAATGGTCATAAGTATTCAGACCCTTTGCTCAGTATTGAGTAGAAGCACCCTTTTGAGCTAGTACAGCCATGAGTCTTCTTGGGAATGATGCAACAAGTTTTTCACACCTGGATTTGGGGATCCTCTGCCATTCTTCCTTGCAGATCCTCTCCAGTTCCGTCAGGTTGGATGGTGAACGTTGGTGGACAGCCATTTTCAGGTCTCTCCAGAGATGCTCAATTGGGTTTAGGTCAGGGCTCTGGCTGGGCCAGTCAAGAATGGTCACAGAGTTGTTCCGAAGCCACTCCTTTGTTATTTTAGCTGTGTGCTTAGGGTCATTGTCTTGTTGGAAGGTGAACCTTCGGCCCAGTCTGAGGTCCAGAGCACTCTGGAAGAGGTTTTCTTATATATCTGTACTTGGCCGCATTCATCTTTCCTTCAATTGCAACCAGTCGTCCTGTCCCTGCAGCTGAAAAACACCCCCATAGCATGATGCTGCCACCACCATGTTTCACTGTTGGGATTGTATTGGGCAGGTGATGAGCAGTGCCTGGTTTTCTCCACACATACCGCTTAGAATTAACGCCAAAAAGTTCAATCTTGGTCTCATCAGACCAGAGAATCTTATTTCTCATAGTCTGGGAGTCCTTCATGTGTTTTTTGGCAAACTCTATGCAGGCTTTCATATGTCTTGCACTGAGGAGAGGCTTCCGTCGGGCCACTCTGCCATAAAGCCCCGACTGGTGGAGGGCTGCAGTGATAGTTGACTTTGTGGAACTTTCTCCCATCTCCCTACTGCATCTCTGGAGCTCAGCCACAGTGATCTTTGGGTTCTTCTTTACCTCTCTCACCAAGGCTCTTCTTCCACGATTGCTCAGTTTGGCTGGACGGCCAGGTCTAGGAAGAGTTCTGGTCGTCCCAAACTTCTTCCATTTAAGGATTATGGAGGCCACTGTGCTCTTAGGAACCTTGAGTGCTGCAGAAATTCTTTTGTAACCTTGGCCAGATCTGTGCCTTGCCACAATTCTGTCTCTGAGCTCCTTGGGCAGTTCCTTCGACCTCATGATTCTCATTTGCTCTGACATGCACTGTGAGCTGTAAGGTCTTATATAGACAGGTGTGTGCCTTTCCTAATTAAGTCCAATCAGTTTAATTAAACACAGCTGGACTCCAATGAAGGAGTAGAACCATCTCAAGGAGGATCAGAAGAAATGGACAGCATGTGAGTTAAATATGAGTGTCACAGCAAAGGGTCTGAATACTTATGACCATGTGATATGTTAGTTTTTCTTTTTTAATAAATTTGCAAAAATTTCTACATTTCAGTTTTTTTCTGTCAAGATGGGGTGCTGAGTGTACATTAATGAGAAATAAAATGAACTTTTTTGATTTTAGCAAATGGCTGCAATGAAACAAAGAGTGAAAAATTTAAAGGGGTCTGAATACTTTCCGTACCCACTGTATATGCACATTTTGATATTTCACTCTAGTCTTTTCCTGTATGTGCTTTTGTCTGTATCGGAAAGCATCAATAAATGTTTTACTTTTTTACAAGCAAGGAGCTTACTTTTGTCTGTTATTGATGAAAGTTGTTGATAGTCACATGGTCATGTGTTAAGAGGAAAAAAACGATATTCACTGGTTTCTGTCCCAGGCCTGTACCTCCGCCTTCGCTACCAAAGATCGTCTGCGCTCCCACATGATCAGGCATGAAGGCAAAGTGACCTGCAACATCTGTGGTAAAATGCTAAGCGCTGCCTACATCACAAGTCACCTCAAGACGCACGGCCAGGCCAGCTTCAGCAACCCATGTAACAATAAAGGTAGGCAAGAGTGTCCTTTTACTTCTCGTAAAGCTCCTCACTACTTACTCCACCTTTTCACTTAACACTTAATCACTGGCAAAACTGTGACAACTGCCCATCCACACATATGGAGACTTCCCAAACCATTGACATGTTGGATACATTATTTGTCATGATACTGATTGGGGGTTTCTGTCAATATACCCCACTTGTTCAGCTGTGATTTAATGGACAGTGGACCTGGGCTACACACTATCAATGGCTGCTCCAGAAGTCAATTGTTCCTTCAGTTAGTGCCCTAACTGATCTGACATCAGCTTACAAGTTGAAATGTGGTTTTTAAGTTTTAAACCTGTAAAAGCATTTTTTCTGCTTGCAGTTTGTGTAGTAGAACTGCAGTCTTCACCCTTTTTTACGAGGAGCAGGCTTCTCAAAAACTGTTCAGGGCGTGGTGACCATTCCAATTACCCAATAGTTATGACTTTCTAAGTGTCCTGTCACCCTTACTGAATACAAGTCAGATACAGCTGCTGGATACAAGTGTTATTTTCAGGCAGAGTGTGTTGAGTAGAACTCTGCTGCCGTTGCGTTTTTTCATGCGGAGCATCCTGTTGCAACCATTGGGTTTGAGCTCTGTAATTCATCCCCATGCACGATGCTTAGAGTAATCAGTGTCTCTCCATAGGAGAGACACTGATTACTATTCAATTTAAATGAGCTATTTACAGTGCAAATAGCTAATGTGTGCATGTTCCATTCACTTACATTACGGTGCATTCAACCTCTAAACCAGAGGTCTTCAACAGGGGGTCCGCGACCCCTAGGGGTACTGCACGGGGGTCGTGACATTTTTGGTAGATTAAACAATTTTTCATATTTCTTTTATTTAAAAAAAATAAACATTTTTTTTCCCCAAACATGAATCTGTCCATTATTTTAATAGTTCAGTATTGTATGAAAGATAACAGGTATCTTTATGCATGGCAGTGGCACTAATAAGCCATCACTCATTTTTTGTTTTTTTGAGTTCGTAGCCTGTGTTCTGCTGTTGTTTTCCTGCTAAGCTAGTTTAGCGTAGCCTCCCAGAACACACACGGTGCCTCAGCTGTGTTTTGCTTTGGGGTTTTTTTGTTCCGGGTTCAGAGGTCACACAGCCCGTTGTCTCCTACGTGAGCGCAGTCCACCGAAAACATATTTCCCACAATTTAAGCTTCTGCATTTTCCAAATGCACTGGTATTATTCAAATGTATTGTTCGGTTCGTAAGCCTTGTCCCGAACGGTTTAATATGAATACGTGTATTGTTACACCCCTAGAAACGAATAATAACCGTAGCTGTGGCGCCATCATGAGGTGATTAGGAGGTGGTTCAACTGTAGGAAGACGGCACAGAAGGCCCAGGTATAAAATGCACGGCCCGCCTCTGATATATAGTACGGGGTCCCTGCTCCATCTCTCTATCAGTTTGGGGGTCCTTGGCCTGAAAAACGTTGAAGACCCCTGCTCTAAACAGTAAAAATGAGCATTGGGCAAAGGTACATTACCTAATCATGATGTGTTCAATTTCATTTTGTGAAATTAAGTATTTAGCGATAAACTTGAATTAATCCAGTTGTTTGAGGGAGAGTTTCTCACAGCAATATAAATAAGAAATTCAAGCTCTAAGCAGCTCATTTGAATTGTTTATGCAAATACCCAGCATAGATCATAGTAACAAAGTCATGTTTAACATTTCAAATTTTGACTTTTTTTTGTCAAATTCTCCATTGATTTTTAAAAATCTATTAATATGCCTACATTTTCCATTTCAGACAAGTAAGTTTAGCTATTGTACATGTAGAACAAGTGTAATGTCAAGCCTGGGGGTGTGGAATCTGAAAGGTGTGGGTGCTAGACGTTATTCAGCTGCATTACAGGAATTGTATGATTCAGCAATTTTGGAGCTTGACCCAAGGACAACAAGTCTGTCTCTGCTGCTACCATTGTAACTAATTTTTTTTATCTGTCTTTTGTATATCCCCAACTTAATGAAAGTGGCCTACCACTTAAAAGGAGAAGATGTGTTAGATGTCAGGAATAAGCTACGATAAACTAATTAATGGTGTATGTATGTATATATGAAGCCCCAGATAAAATGTTAAGTATTTAACACCCCATTCCCACGCCACATACACACAAGTTAACCATGCCAACTGTTGAAGCTGACTCCCAGATGATGGCACTGCTGCCCTGTGCTCTTGTAACCCTATGTCTGTATTTCTGAATAGGCATAAGTGACTGGCAGTGGAACCACTCAGGGCCACGAAAAGGTAATCCAGTAGCTAGCAGCAGAAACCCCGAAGTACTGAATTCTAACCTCTGCAAAACATAAGTGGCCAGTTTTTCTTCACGCACCATGTCACACAAGTACAGAAGCATTTCTTTTCTCTGAGGACTGTTGTAATTAAGGTTCTTAATTCTGCTAATATAAGGTTAAATTTCATGAAGCAGGATCAGTAGATCATTTAAATGAACCACACACTGGACCATAAACACTACCTGACCATCAGAGGTCATCTTGCACTACTCGGCTGTCCATTCTGTCCTGACTTTGACCAGATTGACCAGCTTTTTATTTACCTACTCTTCAAATGGAACAATAATAATAACAAAAATGATGATATCCCAGTTGAAATAGGGTCATAACTGACCCAGCTGCGAGCTAGCCACCTCACAGCATAGGTGAGACAAGTTGATGATGACCCTGTGATGTACTGGCCCTGAACTCAGCCGGGATGGTCAAATTGGCAGCCCTGCAGTATAGTGTGCATCCAGCCTTAGGCATACACAGAGCTTAAGTTGTCCTTCATAATGTGTTACTGTTTCAAATGAAAGTTCTGAATTCAAACTAATGGACAGTTAGCTGGTTAGTCTATTGATCCTGCTTTTTGAATTTACCCCTCAGGTGAGTTGACGGTAGGAGAGATTTTAAATAACTCCTTCCAAGTCCTAATTGACAACTCTCACAAAGGTAGGTTTCTTCAACAATATTATTACAGTTGACATAATGCATTAATGGTGTATTGACATTTTCAGTGACCGAGCTTAACAGCCAAGGAGCTGAGAGGGCTGTTGACTTTCCCTGTTTTGGAGGGGTAGTATATTTCCACGAGGTTGACCAGCCCTAACTCTACCCTTATCTGTCTTTGTTTTAAACAGATGGCAACACTGTGCATAACATCTCGGCCACTACGACGCCGGTCACCAACGCGGCAGCAATAACCTCGGCCCTGAATCGCGGTGGCATTGCCAGCAATCCCGTCACCATCGCTGCTCAGATGAACATCGGCACCAGTACGGTCAACATCACGTCACAGGTCAACCTGCAGCACCCCATCACCATCACTGGCCCTGTGAACCTGGCCTCCGTCAACATCCCCACAACGGCACACATGAATATCGTCCACCCGGTCGCCATCACCACTCCCATGGCCATGAATATCACCGGGCCACTCAACATTACCATGAGGTCCATGGAGAGCATGCCTTTTCTATCCCAAGTTCTGCCTTCCTCCCCTCCTTGGTAGAGCTTCTCGTAGTCTATGTAAGAGCCGATAATGTTTTAACTGCCTAATAATGGATGAGCCTGTCACATCTTAGTAAAACTGCCCTTTTGATGGGTTGATAGTGTTAAACTTGAAAAGGTAATAACTGATGTAATTAAACCACGTAGATAGTAACCAATGATTGTTACTTGCAGGAGTGATTACTGCATAATTTGTGAATTTTGAATTTTGTTTGTATTTATAGGAGAAAACATATTTCAAGTATCCATAATCATGATAGAAAAATAATAGTTTTGAGTGCTTACAGTCATTCATTGCAGAGTATTAGACAACATGGTAAAGTGAGATACGATAATGGTCACTTTTAGGGATGGGCAACATGGATACACCTGTCTATCATAGTACGAGTTTGATCTTATTTTGTTTTAGATATTGTAATATAGGACATTTCTAGAAATGTAATAGAGAAAGGTTTCATTGATACCAGATGGGACTTTCTGTTCTTAGCTAACCCAGTGAATTTATTTCTTGACAAATCAAGGTACTTCATCACATTGATGCAAAACTTCTGTAAATCAAAATATTACCTTTAAGCAGTCCTGCTCATAGATATGCGACATTGCCCACACTGGCCTAATATACCAAAATGGAGGGATACCTCAGTGTAAACGGTAACATTTCTAACAAATATCAAGTTATTGTCGTCTCAAATATATCATATGGCTCAGCCCGAGTCCACGGTGTTACTCACTGCCGTAGTTTGTTGTGTTGGTCAAGTCTTTCTCATTCCTACTAGTTGGGTTTCTGAGGGCCATGTCATTCTCAAATATGAACAGATAAACTGGTTTGACAAAAAATGTTATAACTTCATTCATTTTTCTCTGTTATCAACCACATTTCAGTGTTCATCAGGTCTAGAGCTGTCAATGCGTGATCCAAGAATGGAACTCCAGTTGTGTGATAACAGGAGATCCTATGGGGGGAGGAGAATTAACACCACTTCGCACATGCGAGTGGCCTCCAATCTCCACCAGCTGACAAAGACCATGAAATATAGTTGAAAGCGCTGAAAAATAGCCAGCAAATGGTCCTGAGGTCCAGATTACTTCTTCAAGGTGAAGCGTCTTCAGGCTCAGATAAACGTCATTTTGTGCAGATATTCCGTGTACATAATATTTTATGCCAAAGATTTTCTAAGTATCGTGTTTTCCCCTAAATGTTATATTTTAAAAGATAAGGGGAAAACCTTTAAACGGCATTTGGACCATCATAGGACACTTCAATTCTCCTCTTGGAAACCCAGAGTAATGAAATTGGCGCCTCAGGTGGGGCTGTCTTCCCCCTGTCTGCCTGACTCATGTTCTATCAGAAGCCAACAATACCCATTATCATTGCAATAATAATTCTCCTATTTTTAACATGTGATAATGTGTATATTAATGTTAAATTGTTGGCATTACTAGTAGTACACAGGAACAAGTTTCATTATACTCTTTAACCAAAAGAGTATTTGCTTCCACTTTGGTGTAAAATTATTTGGCAGTTATTACAACACCAGCTGCTGCATTGTCGCCCGTGTTTTGTTTTTTAATCCTTTGCGCCCCCCCCCCCCCTTCACACCAGGGTAGTTTGCTGTATGGTGACAGATAGCTGAGGGTGAGCCAGCTCGTTGCAGCAGTGTTGGCCTTAAACACATAATATGCCTTGGAGAGGCAGCTTTCAGAGCCCTGCTCCACAATTCTTTCAGCTCGATTCAGCTGCTGAAGGACGAGCCTCTTAAAAGCGGCCACTTAACGATTTCTTCAACTGGGCATCCGACTTCAAATCTGGGTGAAATGTGAGGCCTTACTCGACCTTTAGGCTTTGGTAAACAGCTCCTTGAGTTAAAGTGTATTGCCATGTTCTTACATGCTTCCTCTTAAGGCATATTTTGTAAGGTTTTTTTCTGTTATTTTAGTAGACTTATCAGTATTTGATAGTTTATGTATTTTAAAGTTTCATTGCAAAATACAAAGCTTCCATTTGGAGAGAGAGTGAGTTTAGCCTCTGTTTACCCCCCCCCCCCCATGTCTGTGTTTTAAACTTGCAGTCAGTCGACACTGCTGGATACTCTACACAAGTCTATCTGTCACAGCTGTTTGAGAATGTTTGAATGTATTTATACCATGCCAGTTGGTACAGCTAAGAGGAAACATCTCGTACTGAAAGCATGTCCCTTAAAATGGCAGTATTATCAAAGGTCAAATAATCAGAAATGTTGATGACTGAAGACATTTGAACTCTCGAGGTCCCAGTGGTATGTTTACTTTAGCAGGTATAGGATCCCCGTCACTGTCACGCAGACTCAGGAAGGTTACTGAGAATAGTCTTTTAAACCATGTTCAGCTTTTCACACACTGGTCATTTCTTTGTAAATATGAAACACTTATTTTATTGCCTGTTACCTGTGTGAGAGGGAGCATCTCTACTTACCATAGGCTAGCAATGCAAGAACTATATCACCACTGAAGTGGCCATCCAAGGAGAGGGAACCCATCAGAGACTAATTAACGGATAAGGCTTGTGTTGCTTTAAGTTGTCAACAAATCCCATAAAAAGGCCAAAAAGCTACTAATATTACTAACTAATATCTGTGTAGCTACGGTTTGACACAGCTTATGCCTCCAATACCATAGAATTCTATTGTTATCCAACAACAACTGAAAACGCATTGAGGAGCCATACCATCTTCATTGACGTGACCACTGAGTGCAGTTGATTCCTGTCCTCTGCCCCACACGGTGCGCCTCCTCTGAGACTAAACCTGAAGCCACGGGGTTCTTTGAGGATCAGCGGTGCTCTGTTCTCATTGAAGGAACATGTCAGTCAGCGCAGCGGCAGGCCTCTTGTTTATATTTTTATTAGCTTTTGGAAAACAGATTAGTGGCACAGTGTTGGCAATATCCGATTATGTCCCAGGGTTCCCTGGTGGAGTGAGTCTTGAGGAACACAAGTGAATTAGTTAGTAGATGTGAAGCCTGTTTGTAGTTAAGGGACTTTTTCAGTGCAGGAACTCTGAACACTGGCAGCAGACTGTAGGCTGTGCACACTACAGAAGAGTGGTACTTTAGAGGGGCATTTCACTTTGGTGGAATGAGTCAATGATCATAGTTCACCTGGCCACATCTGCACATTGGCTGCCCAGATGTTTGGCCCCTTAGTTTCATTGTGTGCATGCCACACAGTCCACCAAGGGAGATGTTCTCATGTGTAATGGCATTGTGATCTTGAAATTTGATTCATTTCCCATCTGTACTTTTTATTTTTAGTCAATGTTGCGTGTGGATGACTGAGCTTGTCCAGTGTAGGTTTGAGTTCAACAACCATTATTAGGCTAGTGACTTTTTATGAAAACAAAACACTAAAAAAAATTAGGATGAAAGGAGGTGTGTGATGTCATTTGTCCTTCTCCAGTTGCCGTAAAAAGTGTGCCTGAAATATTTTTGCAAGACTTTTCAACACGTTGACGCTTCCTCCTGTAGATGTGCTGTGTGATGGAACAGTGTGTGAGGGAAGCCTTCAGAGGGCCCAAACTATGTTGTGATGAGTTCATTCTTTCTAAACCTGCGGAGAGAAGTTCTGCTACTTCAGGAACAACTTTTTATTTGGGCCAAGGTCGTGTAGATGTATCAATGACATTTAACTATTTAGTTTCATTTTTGTTTTTGTTTTTTTTTTACTCCAACCGTATGTGAAAAACATTATTTGGCCAAATAATGATTTGGAAGATTCTTTTTATTTTTCTGTGAAGTTTGTATGATGAATTTGGCAGATGTGAAGGCAAATGAATGTATATCTTTGTACAAAGCATTTAGTTCAGAGGACATGTTAGTTATGACAGACACATGCAAGACAAAATAACCTTTTATAAATCTTTTTGTATTAGAACATTAACAATGGTAAGTTTTGTATATACGAAGGCTAGGCTTTCTGATTAGCAGAAAGGTAAAACATTCCTACATTTTTTTTAAATGTATGTCCATTGAGAATAATTATGTAAAGATATGCGCAATGTTTTATGTGCCTTTTTATTTGGGTTTGTCTAAATAAAAGAAAACAATAAAGCATGATTTTGGACTGTCCATGCTGAGTCTCAGAGGAAAGTCAATCCTCTCCATCTCAGCTGAATCTCTGGAGCGACTCCCCTGCACTCAAGACACTCTCCTCGATCAGGAGAGCGTTACTCCTTTCTGCTTTTAGTTGCTTTTCCTGGCTTTAGTCGAGGCTTCTGGGAGGCTGAGGTGGTTGCTGAAGTCCCCGGTCTTTCTGGATGTTTCTTATCTCCAGACTCCTCAGTGGCTTCACCGGCTCACTGGCTCACAGTTGGCCTGCTCATGATGAAAGTGCCTCTGTGACTTTGCTTGTTGGAGTGGATTGTGGGGGATTTTGTGCCAAACCATGGTCTGTATGTGACGACAAAAACATTTTGGTGTTTTTTTTCATTCTTTAACTATTAAACTTGGAAAATGTGATGTGCTGTGTGAAGTGTCTTTGTTTGACATTCAGTGGTTAACTGACACCTGAATGAGCAAAGATCTGATGCTGTACAATGTAAAGGAATAAAGGAATCTAGTTTACTGTCACCATTCTGTATTGTGTGTGGACCTAATTCTCCACATGCTTGTCTGTTTTTTTCTGATTTGGGTTCGGTCCCTAAGCTAGCGTTTACTGTTTAAACATGCCTTTGCACAAAGAACGGTCCATGAAGAAGTGATTTTCCCAGTTTGGTGTGGAAGAACTTGATTGTCCTGCTCGGAGGCCGACCTCAACCCCATCCAACACCTGTGGCAGGAAGTGGATTACCGACAGAGCTGCCTGATCACATAGTTTTGGCCATGTAGGGTAACAGTTTAAAGAATAATAGAAGCACAGTAAGCTTATTTTCTTTCTTTTTTTATTGATATTGGGCATCAATTAAGCATTTACAAATGTCTTTCAGACAATGTGCATGTGCAGATTTTCAGATGCTCATTTTTGTTATACACTTATAGAACAAGGAACAAAAAGAAAACTAACTAGGGAGTGAACTATTATTACATTCATACATTCATTGATTTATGAAAATACAATCAGGTCTATGGGGTGTCCCGTATGTAACCCATTTTTCCCAATATGACAAAAATTGTTCATTTGTAGTTGACAGATGCTGTTATCTTCTCCATTTTGTAAATGTCCATTGTAATGTCCATCCATGTGTTCAGAGTGGGACTCTCTTGTGACGACCATTTCCTGGTAAGAGTCTTTTTGCTGGCCACCAGAAGTACATTTATTAAATATTTGTCTCTTTTTGACGGTGTTTCAGGTAAATATCCAAGATACATGGTCTTACTTTCTAGAGGTATTTCACCTTCAAAAATGTTTTGTAGGGCCGTGTGTGTCCCTCTCCAATAGTCTGTGATAACAGGGCAATCCCAGAACATATGGTGATGGTTTGCACATCCTCTCCAGCAAACAGGAGGGTTACTATCATAGTGGCATTTCTGAGAGGGTGTAATAAAATACCTGATCACGTTTCCACCCAAACTCTCTGCATGCCTGCGAGCTGGTCCACTTCCATTGAGTTTTCCATATTACTGTCCATTCTTCCTCAGATATAGTTATTCCTCCCTCCTGCTCCCATTGAGTTTTAATATAGGAGGTTGAATGTGTTTTAAAGTTCAACAGACATTTATATTTACATGAGATGATTTTACTGCCTATATCTGAGTTATAAGCTTTTCTAAACAGTTCTATCAGGTGTGTACTCTTAGTCATGTTTTTCGTCTTCGTATTCACATAATGCGATCTGCAAGTATCGATAGAATTCCTGTTTTTCTAGTGAGTCTGGGCCTGATCACATAGTGAAACTTTAAGAGTTTCAAAACTTAGCAGTCTGCCTCCTTTCATTATGTTGCATATGGCTGTTATTCCTGTAGCTGTCCAATCCCTAAATCTAGCATCACATTTATTTGGTGTGAAGTCAGAATCATATGCACACCATTTAAGTGTTACCATATCTCCCTCTAGTTTGTGTTCTCTTATAATGGTTTTCCATACTTCACCCATGAAGTATGGAAAACCAATAAAGTAGTATTTATGTGGCCTTCTAGATTATCAGCTAGCATTCTTCAAAAATGGGGGTGGAAGTTATTTTCTCTTCAATGTTTTTCCATTGAGCCTTATAAGATGGGTTGCACCAGCATATTACCGCTCTCATCTGTGCTGCTATAAATAGTAAATAGTAATCTCTAAGAGAAGGTAGGCCCCATCCTCCCTGCTCTGGTGGTTCTGGTGGTTGTAAGGTTTTGAGACGGACCCTGGGTCTTTTACCTGTCCAAATATATCTAGATAACATCTTGTCCCATTCATTAAATTGGTTTTGGTTAATCTCTATTGGTAGATTTTGAAATAGATAAAGTACTCTGGGCGGTATATTCATTTTAATGGATTCAATCCTTGCCGTGAAACTTAGGAAAGGAATTATGCTCCATCTTGCTATGTCTTCCTTAATTTTTGTTATTAGTGGATCAGAGTTACAGTCTGCAAGTTTTGTTAAGATCTTTTGTAATATTGATGCCCAGATATTTGAAGGATGTTGTTTGCCATGCAAAGGATATTTATTTTCAATTTCTCTTGGTGGGCTATATAGTTATATGAGAGTAACTGGGTTTTGCCCACGTTAATCTTGTACCCTGATAGTTTACCATACTGTTCAAATGACTGCATCAGTTTAGGTAAAGGAACTAATAATATAACCTTGCTCCTTGGGGGTGTATCTGTGTGCATTAGCTCACAAACAATCCCTTCAGGGTTTAAAGGTGTACTTTTTACAATTGTATATCTCACTTTAATAAAGAGAGCACTCAAAAGAAACCATTTCATTAAAAGAATGGTTTAAATGAAATAACAGAGTCCAAGTCAACAGACTTATATTTCCTGGTATGGTAAAAAGCTCTATAAACAATGGATCCTACTTTTCCCATAATGCAACTTGATATAAGATATAACACTTCTATAAGCGTCCTTTGGCATTTATGTGTTGTCATCACATAAAGAATGGTTCATGCATCACACATTCCTCCTGCAGCTGACAGTGAATAATATCAATGCAGCAGGACCGCAGGACCAAACTCACAACTGGGTCACACTTGAGAGTCTGGTTGATTCAGTTGAGCCTTTTTCAAGCTCAATTCAAGCATCCACAATGACATGGTTTGTGAATCTGAATAGGCCCTGCAGAATTATGCCGACTAATCTCAAGGATGTCAATTCACATGGAACTAATTCTACATGGGGTTTGTACTGACTATTTTGCAGTTCATCAAAGAAATGGATTTTTGCTGAGTAAGCATGGCAGATATAGGCAGGAGAGTCCCAGTAACAATTATGTACTGTTCTCTCTATGTGTTTTACTTCCTAAGTGTTAACATAGATAAACAGCCAGCCAAACTCCTTTTCAAGAGCCAGGAATGCGAGCTTGCTTGCTCCTTTATTGATTTCGTACATCTTAAATCAGGTTGACAACGTTGAATCGGAGTGAAACTAGAAAAGAAAATACAAAACATCTTAATTGAATGCAATATGAATAACTGATAAATATAAACAGCCTTATCCTAGTCACATGTACTTAACAAAAGTCACCATTACTTAACAAAAGTCACCATTCTTACTCAGTCAACACATGAAGAACATAAAACACTTACAGCCATTGCTTTCTGAGGAATTCAGATGAAGGATTACTGTGGATTAAACATGGGACACCACACAGCTGCAACCATGCTCCCTGTAGTTTACAGCTCTCAATTTCCTACTTCCTGCTTCTCACTTCCTGCTTCATTACGGGTGTCAAAATAAAAGCGCTACACCCATTTATGCATGAAACAATGTAAACACATTTCAACAGTTAACTTATTCAGAACAGAACAAATTACATTATTCCATTTCCAACTGTACAACTAATCCCATCAAGAAACGGTGAAACGGTAGCCAACAAACAGCAGTTTGACTGTTTGGCTGAACTATGCAGAGTGTAAGTGGAGTAAGAATGGACCTTTCAATGCATATAAATGATACAACTGCTCTACTCTACTGAATCAGGCACAGATTAAAGTCAAACTTATTATAAAGACTCTACAAGCTCTGTGCTCCAGATACCAGAGGCAATAGAAAGCCTATAGTAGGTGTTGCTCACACCTAAAGAAAGATCAAATGCATGGTAAAGATAAATGAATGAAATATAAGAATTTCTATTCTGTTAAAGAAACAAACATGAAAAACAATCAATGTAAGAGCTAAATTCAATTTACATGTTTAACTCTAATCACATCTGTTTGTACTTTGAATGTTACAAGGAAGTTGTCATTTGTTATGGTAAGAAATACAGGTAAGTGACAGACTGCTGTCACTTTAAGGACACTTTGCGACAGTTAGTTATGTTTGTTGGTAATATCTGGAGCAGAATGGAGCCGCACAGTTTTCCGACCGTGTTATATGGAACGTGCTATGTGGATTATGTTGTGGAACAATGTGTGGATTAACCTGTGGATCTTTAAAGTGTGTCGAGGTAATCGGCGTACTTTTAGGAAGAAAGGAAGTTGTTTCACTAACTTGTACGAGAGAAATCGGATCAATAAAACACGTGTTTCACCTACGAGCGGTGTCGGTGTGAGCTATGTGCATAGGACCAGAAACACGCGTCAACTTAAGGTTTACACTCTACTAAAGGTTTGGACGCTACAATTAAGATTGTTGAAAGTGTAAATATTTGCTAATTCATTCTTTTGACCTCCATGGCCACACTCTCTGCATTTCTAAAAAACCTTAGTCTAGCAAACATAAACATTACATAATGTAAAACAAAGTCATTATTTCTCCCATTGAAAAAATAACAAGACTGTTCATACAAATGCGAAGCAAAGTTTTTTTGTGTGCATCAGAAGTATATTTGTGAATTATTATAATTTATTATAATGTGAACGCAAACTGTGAACCCTTATGTTGGAGAGTGATCTGACCACATACTGGTACCACATACCTCTAGTGCTGCTTGAAAGGCTGTTTCACCAAAAAAGTCAAGGGCCCCTTACTAGCACTACTGTTACAGAGCTTTCAACTGATAACAAGTTGTCTCCACGGCAAAAGAGAAAACTGCAGAAGAACAACCGCTGAAGGCTCCAAAAGCTGAACAGATGTTGAGTTAAGTATAATCATTGGATTTTTACAGTCCCCGACCACAATCAGCATAACACTACTCAGCTAACAGGAAGGAACTCTCAAGGTCAACTACAAACATGTTCACAGTTATTCCCACAAATAAAAATAGAGTTCTGAGAGACACACTTTAAAGGATAAGTGGATAGGAAGTAGGTCAGGCTAATGTTTTAACTATCATTTAAAAGGGCTTTATATGTAATGTTGATCCATACCCTAACCTAAGACGAAAGCAGCAACACAAATAGATTCTTCGGCCTTGTCCACAGTTGCAGTGAACATGCTGTATTAACCTGTTCTTCATGGCACAATGAAGAACACACAATTTAGGTGGAACCTTCTAAGGACTGCTGAAAGCTTTGCTCCACTGAACCTACAAACACTGGATGGAATGGAAATGGATCCATGTGACTGACAAGTTTGGGGAGACTGATGAAAGAGGCAGACTCCAGGAACAGAGTCATTCAGTAAAACAGCAGCAGGACTCATTCATTTCTATAGGATCCATACTAATTCATTCATTCTCTGCTCATTCACATGTGGAGACAATTCTATTGGAAGCACTACTTGTGATGTCAGGTAGTGGCTTCACCCAAGAGTCACACCTTCACCGCTTCTTTCAGTTGTCGCGAATTGTGGTCAAAAACAATGAAGCCCAGCTCAGTTCCAGATGTCATTTCTCCTCAGATCTGAGCTCCATGATCTTCTGTCTGTCTGTCTGTTTCTCCGTCTCTTGTTTACAAACACACACGCACACACGCGAGTAAACCGTGCTTATAACAATAGCTTTCACATTCTTACCTGCGTTTCGTAGTTTACGGTTCCTAAGCACGGACACGATGACCAGCAGGTTTCCCAGGGCGGTGGTGAAGATCAGCACGCTCGCTTGTCTTTTCCATTACCAGCCTGTGTAGTGGGAACGCCAGTCTCACTATGCACCTGCTACGACCCCTCACTTGTTTTTCTACAAGAGATTCTGATCCTTTCTTAAGGCAAACATAGGTATGCTGGTTAATAAAAAGATACAAATTTAAACTAGCCCTCTATAGAAGTGCGTGAAAACAGCAATGAGACCACAATATAGTCACACTAGTTCTCAATATACTGATGTGTGACTTTCAAACATTTAGACATATTTAAACAAATATAGTTGATGGTGATATTATGATAAATCAAACTCCAACAAAAGTGAGTCACAAAATGAGTTTTAATAACCTGAGAAGTGGGAGGCTCAGATGATGAACCAGAGTGAGCCTCTCCATGAACTGCATTATATCGAGACAATGTGATGGTCTTCTTGGAATTTCGTGCCCCCACAGAATGGCTGCCATGGCGAGTGACTACATTTCGGAGATCTAGAGAGGTGTAAGGCTGAGAACCTGCTGAAGCTGTGTCTGTGAGAAGCTGGATGTTTTGCTGTTTGAGTTCAATGGAACCAGAGCAGTTATCAATTCCCTGGGGATGTGAAAATTACATGTGAATGGGTAAATTAATTTCAGTTTCAGCACTTTTACTACTTATCTTCCTCCTTCTGACATTTTCAATGTAGAAACAGGAGGAAACTAATATTTTTTGCAGATGACTCCATCGTGGAGCCCTGCCATTGAAGCAGTATGTGCAGCTGTGGCATCCAATATCAAGGTGGGAGGAGAAAAGGCGGCCGAAAGAGATGGGACAGGAAAGGTAGAAGCAACAGAAGAGGAAAGGATGCTCGGATGAAGGGATGCTTGTGCATGGATTTTTAGTGACGTCTGGGGAAAAATAATCGCCGTATGAGATGTCTAATTTCTGGAACAGAAAGAGCTTGAAGAGAGTGGGTTATGACCTGGTTATGACCTGGCCCTCTGAAAGGGCTTACGTGTATGGCTGGGCTTCTCTGGCCGTGGGATGTGCCATGACTACACGAGGCTCGGATAGTGAGAGGTGTTTTGCTGTGAGATTGTGAACAATGAAACGTTTTCCTTTTTTATCAGACTGATGGAAAGGGACATTGTGAGTCACACTCAGTTTTGTAGTCAATCCTGCGGTGTAGGCTGCTAGTCCTTGTTAAGAAAGAGTTTTCCATTTGTTGTGGGGACATTTTCAGTAAAAAATAAAGTGAATGCAATGGATCTTCACATCCTGACAAGGAAGCAAGCCTGACTGGTTCTTTGGTACAAATATATTCAGAGATTTGGAGAAAAAGGAGAGTGGATGGTCTTTTCTCATACGTTGGGGGTCTCCAGAGACACCGGGGACACGTTTATGATGAAAAGCCATTAAAAAGTGCATTTTGCATAGAATGTGAACTTTTACAGTATGCTTTAGTCTCACAGATGTTTAGTCAGTCTATAATGGGACCATGTTATTTAACTGTCAGAGCTTTACACTTAGGATCTTGTTGGCATTCTCCAGCAGTTTATTCTCACAATAACCAGTTTCCATACATCACCAAACTCATCTCCATTACTCATCCCAGCTACTTCTCCATCGAGAACCAGCCAGGACGTAGTAACGGTCAGAGGAACTACGACCGCCTTTCTGATAGAAGTTCCCGTAGCGGCACCAGCGTAGTCATCTGAAGCATTTCTATTTTTGCATCAAGGGTATTCAAAATGACAACCAGTGAACAGCTGTGATGATGAACAGCCGAACAGCTGTGATGATCTGTCAGGATGGATTCTTCTCAGAATTGACGACAAATGACATGGTGCATAAGAACCTTTTTATTTTCTGCACTGAATTGGAAAAAACCCAGTAAAACAAAACCCACTCACTTTCTGCAGAAAGGGGACATAACGACACTGCTTAATGTCTTTGAACATTAGAAATTCATCAAAACATTAACAGATGAAAGAAATGTACAAAAAGATTCCCTCATTACCATAAAAATGTTTTCACAAAAGAAAATTCTGGGATGTAAAGTTTGGATTTAATACAGTGTAAAATGTGTCTATATTAATAGAAATGGCATTCAATCAGTCAGTGGCAGAGGAGGAATGATAATTGATATTCCATAAGTCTTAGTGTCCACATTTACGTCAAACAGTCCAACAGAAAAACTCAAAGGAAGTTCAGGATTGCAATTACATATCTACAAAATCTAGCTATGTACACTGTACAGAGATTTAAACATACATCTGTTACAAAGAGAAGAGGAGATTATAGTACAATACAGTGACTATCTGAAGCAGTCTGCCCTGTTGGCTAGATGTTCACTAAGCCATTCATGACCTGGATAAGGGTTTGACTTCTGTCTGCAGACATGGTGAACATGCTACAGAGTAACAGAAAACACCGGGATGCAGTGCCGCTAAAATGTGTCTGCTCAGCATGGCTTTTTCCCAAATAATGATGTCGCATTTAACAGATCAAAGAAATGGCGGTAAACCAGATCAAACGTGGAAAGCTAGCGCTTGTCAATTATTTTGCCAAAAGTTTTCAACTCTGTAGTGGCAGATAAAATGATTTAATCATTTAATAGTAATGGTCACTATATACATGTATGTGTCAACCACTATTGTTAACAGCAGCTGATAACATTTGGTAACGAGATAAGATGACAATCTTCATATTTATATCAAACTTCCACTTAAATTTGATCTTGCTCTGATAGAGTTGGCTGACCACCTCAAGACATTTTGGGGGTTACAAATGAAATATACTGTGAAAAAAAAAGTACTGTGCCTTATCTGTATATAAGATAATCATTTTCTTGGCTTGCGCACACAAGCATGAAGCATGAAGGTCACATTGAACACTTTGGGCTAGCGAGATGATGGCTTGATGGGCGATTTGATTTATTTTTGGGAAAGGAGCAAGCACATTCCACATTAAAACAAATAAATGGCTTTTTGAAATGTGGCCAGAACATTGTTTAATACTTATTCACCAGTAAGGTCATACTATTTTACAAAGTCTGTACAGGCTTGGAGTATTACAAAGTTTACAAATCCAAGGAGGACAATGGGAAAATGGGGATTTATGTCCTTTTTTATTATAAGAAAGAATTGGTCCAATGGGCTTCTGTGAAGGAGCAGGGAACCAAACAATCCTTTCACTTCTCCTTCTTCAAATTCTCTCAACTGCATCTGTACATTTCAATCTCTTTTGGATTAGTCTCTCATTCACATTCTCTATTCTATTCTTTTCACATTACAAATGACCCCTTTATGAACAGGAAGGATACTTTTGATGGATCTGCACAGCGGAGAGGACGGACAACACACTGAGTTTGTCGATCATGCTAAAACTCAACAGTCCCATTTCTGGACATACTGTTCTAAGTCTATGGTTGTAAACTATAACAATGCATTGCTGTATCTAGCATTGCTGACAAAGCATTTCTTCCTGTAATAACATCCAATTGTGCATCTCCTTTCATCTGTTTCGATGTTTGGCTCCTTCTCATCAATTATACATCCCATACTGTATTGTACTGGTCAATCAATCACACCTCAGTCTGCTGCTGTGAGTCAGTGATGATAGTCACCCCTCGACGAAGCTCGTCCATACTGTCAAAGTCGCTGCCATTTTCAGAGTCATCCAGCCCGCAGGGCGCGGACATGTCCGAGGCTGATGATGCACCAACAGACAGTCGCATATTTAGAGACACAGAGTCATCAGTGTCCCCATTTCCTGGGCTTATGCCACTCATTGAAGTGCTGAAGTCCCCGTGGGGGGCCTCTCCAACGGGCAGCTGGTGGGGAGGCAAGTATTGGCTGGGGTGGAAGTGTGGCCGGGCATGCTGACACCCGGTGCTGCCAGAGCTCAGGGTGCTTTCTTTGGAGACTGGTGGGTTGGTGGGCAGTGGCGTGTAGGGCTCAGCATAGTCCTCAACTGTGGGCAGCGGAGGTGGCAGCTGGTCTTGGCTCAAGAACTCTTCTTCGTGGGGAGGGGGGTAGTCGCTGTCAATGTCATAGCCTCCCAGGTAGTAGTCTGACTCCAGTTCACGGGTGCTTCCTCCAAGGCGGGGAGCTGAGCCTGCTACATCACTGGCAGGACCTGCCTCATAGCCTGGCACCTCTTCAATATCTGACAACCTGGTGCTCGGCATCCAGTCAGATGTGTCCCAGTGATATGCTGGACAGTAGAAGGGGATTGTTAATAACAATCTAGACAGTAGAAAAAGACAACAACAAGGTAGTCTCCGCAATGTAGAGCTTTGCAGCAGAGAAGCCTTATTATGCACCAGGAATACAAACAATACACAGGTGTTGAAGGTTACATGACAAGGCAAACCTGTTCCGAAAAACATGTTAGGTCTTTACAAGGTATGTGTCATGCACAACAGGAGCCTTTGAGGGTCGGGGTCACAGCATGCTGAGGTTCATGAAGACTTGCAGCACTCAAGCCATGTTGACAGGTTCAAGAAACACAGCAACATTGGATTCTGGATGTTGACAGGATACTTCAAATACCTGGTACATGTTCCTATTGGTCAATATACCAAAAATCATCAGTGGATTGTTGGTTCCGATGCACCCTGTACCACTTAAAAACTCCATGCAAATACTTAAACATGTAGTATGAATACAAAGATAAAGTTTATATTTAGTCAGCTTAGTAGCTGTGTCACATTGCAGCAGCGAGACTACCATCACCACAATACTCACATGCTGTGTTTTTCTTTCTAATTTCAACATTTGTTTTCCTGAGAAGTGACCGATTGCAGATAATGACTGGTCAGTCTCAGAAGCAAAAGCAGAAGTAGTGCGATATTGTTATTGCGCCAGAAAAACTTAGAGGTAGGAGGCTGTGGTGGAAGATCTGGGTGTCTAATTGTGACATAGGTGACTGCAGACCACAATCTTACCCTAACTTTATCTACAGCGTTTTACTGCCTGATCAACTTCACTAAACTACAACCGGTCGTAGATAAGACACTCATATCAATCATTTTTGACTAACATTGACTAACAATTATTGGACATGTCATTCTACCATGGGGAATCAGATCAGAAAATGCTCATATGGCTCATTTTGGAAGAAGACAAACTAGGTTGTAATACTAATGTGTGCTGTCAAATCAACCATCAGGCAGTTGCAATCAAATAGCCCATAGAACTACTATTTTTATATCATAAGTATATGCGACTGCAAAACTCATCATGTTCAGACTGCAAACAACAGCCAACTATGCGTGGTGTAAATGACTTACATTTAATTGGTCCCGCTTTTGCGAAGCATCTACTGATGTCCACCAAAATGCAAAAGAAATAGTAAATACAGAGCATCACATGATTTTCTGACTTTGCAGGTTGATGAAGGCAGCATAAGAAGAGACAAGCAAGTCGTTTGGGGATCCTACATTCTAACATTACAAAACATTGGTTGTCTCCTCCAAGCAAAGCCAGCTTGCATTTCTTATTTGTCTGCAATGGGACTCAGTTGGGGTCTGCTAAGGTGTTAGCATTGAGCACTGCAGCCAACAATCTACTGACATAGCATAAATGCTGTATCTCATCACAAAGGTTCCTCTAACCAAAAGGACAATGTACCAACAACTCTGCAGATTAATTGAACTGAAGGCAAAGTTCATTTAAGAGCAAATGGTGAGTGAAGCAATGACAAATCAAACCAAAAGACATCCATGCATGAAAGCAGAACACAAACCAGGGTAAGACTGAGGCTGTGCAAACTTCATCACGCAACAACTGGTACAGTACCATCACTGAGCTGGAAGTAAAAATCCAAACAAAGTGACATGGTGGGATGCAGTAAGATGAGAGTTGCAGGCAAACAGTTGTTGGGGAGGGGGTAGAGTGACATCCCTGGGCTGCTAATTCAGCACAACACAATGAGTGGCAAAGAAGCTGTGGGAGGGGTGGGAAATCACATGAAATCACACATACGCACACAAACCTCCGACCCGGAGAGGGGGATGAGCAGTGGAATTAATCAATGACAGAGAAGTAGAAAGATACAGGGGGTAGACAAAATAATTTCAGTCAGGATAGTCTAGATAAGAGATGAAAAGTGCTGATTCCACATTTAATTTTTCAAGCAGACTATCTGGGGTCACTGCTTGACTATAGTTGACCATCTGGTTGTAGATGGTGTTTTGATGCTACCGGTGGTGGGGCAAGGTAGAACTTGGATGTTGGTTTCTGTTTGCTTGGAGTAGTTGCAGGTGCAGCTAATGTGATATTAAGGAGCGATTGGCTTTCCTGCAGAAGGATGGGAGGAGTGGTAGCTTTAGGCCCAAACATGCCCTGCAGAGTTTTCTGTAAACAAACTCAAAGCCTTGTGTGTATCCTTGAGGTCTAACAAATGTGTTGAATTTCTTCCTCATGAAATGAAGCCGATTTTTAAACAAATACAAACACCTGTACTGTTTATATCCATGTCTACCAGTTACAGGTTGTTTTCTTCGCTGCCTTTTTCTGGTGAAATACTACATTTCTCAACATATTACTGTCATGAAACCAAACGGTGAAAGTGGAGATTTTGACTTGATGCTGGCACTAGAAAACAGGTCAACAAAATTGAATGGAATGGAACTTAATGGAAATTTGGTTGAGACATTTTGTTCTGGACCAAATATATATACAGTATATAGACTGATCTACCAGCATCTTCATCATTAGGCCCTGGTGACAGCAGGCTAAAACAATGTGTTGAACACCGAAACATATACTAACTGTTTTGACAAAAAAACGACAACAAACACATACAGAGTTGAAAAATGCAGCTAATATGACTCATATTTTTAAGCAGTCTTTAAAATGTAGGTTCTGTTAATCCACTAACAAAGTTATTTTCATTGTGTGATTGTTATTTTGTCTACTCGCTGCAGATAGATAGAGATAGAGTAAAAGATAGATGGAAGTGGGTAGGTAGGGGGGGCTCTGGTAGTTCACCTCTGCTGTAGGTTTGACCATGGTCCATGACTGACACTGTCAGATGGAAGAACAACATAACATAGAGTCCTTTAGCATTGGTCTGCTTCTCGAAATGTAATTTTACAGGATAAAAGATCATTTAGGTTGGAGGTGCTGTGGGAATTTGGGTGAGTCTCTAAATTGCTTTTGTTATCATTTTCAATCATAGCTCACATTTCCCCTAAAATATCCTTCCAGTTCTCTGCTTTGATTCTCAGAAACAGATGAAAACTGAATCAGAATCTGATTGGGAATTCAGAAGCAAAAGTGTGAACAAGCACTTCATCATTATACCCACATTGCTACTGTTCAACAACTACAACTCTTCTGAGCTCATGGGAGCTGTAGTTGTCATAGAGACTGTGTATCTGTGTGTGTGTGTGTGTGGGGAGAGACTGCCTGTGTGTTCCACAGCCACCACTAGGAACTCCAGTTCCTTCTATTAAGTTCCTCTGGAGTTTGTCCCTTTCTCTCTTGTCTCTCTATAACAAATCTGCGTCTGTTTGATGCACTTGCCTCTTTCCATTTACTTTGTTTGCATCTGTGCACTATTTAACATGTTCTTAGCTTTCTGTCAAAACATCCAATTGGTGAGGAGGCTGCATGGTTGACTTACTAAGTGTCTGACACCAGGGTTTGCCTCCCATACTGATAAACAACCTTTGTTGTTTTTGGTATGAGGACTTAATATGGTTCAAATCATCAAGTGTTCAACTTTTACTTTCCAGCACAGTGGTAGAGGCTGAAGTAACAAAGCATACTGACAGAGGCCCACTGTAATGTTAAAGCTTTTCACAAAGAGCAATAAATGAAACCACCTGTGTCACGGATGGCCAACCATGAGCCGCCATGAGGAGCTTACATTCTGCAAGTTCTCATTCCAACCAAAGACTCCACTCAAGGATTTACTCCACTTGAGGGAGTGGAGTAAAATGGAAGCGCTCGTCATTGAAATCACTTACTGAGGTCATCAGTGAAACATGGTTAGCAGCCACTGCTGTGGAGAAATAATGGAAGAAGAGCTAACCTGGAAGAGAGTTGGACTGACTAACCACTGACTGTGAGAAAGGAGAAAATAAATATAAATATAGGGAGCTAACTTATATGTACAGTGCCCATAAGAGTCCACTTACTACTGAAAGATACAGTATGTCTGTGTTTTTTGCTTTACAGTAACTGCAGACACCTCTGATGACCAGACTGAGACAAAAGAGTGAGAGGAGAGACACAGAGGGGATAAGACATGGTACCTTCACTTTCGATTGTGTCGACTGCATCATTGACCAGTCGAATGACGGTCACTATGGAGGCTTGTGGAGGAAGAAAAGGAGATAAGTTTTGAAATACAGTCATCCAAAGTGAAAAATGCTCTTCATGGCACCTGTGGCATTGCTTACAGCTTACAGCTGCATTGCTGTCCTGCCTGCAGAGGGGAGACCTGGTCTGCCACCGGCACAGTCAAGACTTCTTGCTGATTTTGATGTTTGGGGGCAATTTGCATACAACATTGTTCATATACTGTATATGGAGATACTTTAGGTTGAAATTAAATCAGCAAATAAAACTGCCAAACAAAGATAATTACCTTCAAAAATGTAAAGAAAACCACATGAGAAGAAAACAATAAAGAAGATAAACACCAACAACACAACACTACGCAGACACTGGTGACACCAGTCAGACTTTAACAGGAATGAATATGGCAACAGTATCTATATGGCTAATTCATATAGTTAATCAATTGATGATTAGGGGCAAAAAAAACATTTTTGAATGATGATCATTCTGAAAAGTAAAACAATGAATCTCATGGTTTGCAAACAAAATCTAGTGAGAACAGGACGATGCAATGAAAGTGAAACAGAAAATCAAATACACAGTTCCAGCACAAAGGCCACGACGACCAACACCACACTGTGAAGCGGTCTACACCCCTTAGCTTCTTCAAGGTTTATAATGATGCTGTTGAGATATCATTATGATTTACAGTTGTGAGAAAACATTTGTGAAAACGTTTGAGAATACATTCCTGCATGATTTTGCAGCAATAAGAGCAAATGGATAAAACATGCAAACATAAATGTCTGAAACCTTTGGAGGCAGCAACACTCATTTCCACTCACAACATGTGGTTGCACAGAATCGACAACATATTGTAGATTCTGCTAATCTTCGAGTGTGTTAACGGATAATAAAAAAGGTCCTTGGCTAAAATCGGCCCCAACTGAGGTAACCTAAACTTCCTATCTGACCTGAGGAAAGACCATGGGGTTATTAAAATCAGTTAAGGCTTGATGATGGTACCAGAGGAGATTCATCCTCTGGAAACAATGAATATCCACAGCAAAGTTTAAGTACCTCAAAGATACAAGCATTCAAGATACTATTGCTCTTTCAGTCTGCACGTAGCCAGGTACGCTGCTGCTCTGTTCTGTTCTAAAAACGTTATCTTGTCTCCAAATTTAGTCTTGAGATTTTTTTGAAAAGAAATCTACCATTTTGATTTTGAATGTGTTGTCAATTCATCAAAACAATGGCTACTTGAATGCTTTCAGAGACCCTCTAACTGGACAAGAGCTAGCAGGCCATTTCCACTACTGGAACTACACATTACCTAAACTGTCGCCAATGTACACATTCTAATTTTGTTTCCACTGTACTCTCCTCTTTGGAGGTGAATAAATTTCAGCAGTGCTCAGAAGTGGTACTAAATCCAAGTTCAAGGTAATCTCAGGGGACGGAATGGTTAGATAGGCACTGCAAACAAATATACAGGCAATATTCTGATTCAGAATACCCAACATGTCGCCAGGTCTGAATTCTCAGAGTTTTTATCAAGTTTAGTCCTTAAAACAGAAAAAGGTTATTTTAATATTCATGTGGATGTCGATAATGATAGCCTTAGATAGTGTTAATCTCATTATTAGATTTGACTGGCTTCTATCAGTGGATATGGTGCTCCACCAATCTGGAAAAATCTTAGTAAGGCCATGTCCACACTACTCTGTTTCCATTTGAAGACGCATATGTTTTGCTACGTTTACACTGAGCGTCCACACTACGCCGGCATTTTCGAGCACCGAAAACGGAGGAGTTTGAAAATGCTCCCGAGGACGGATACGTTTGAAAACTCCGGGGTTGCCTCTTCATGTGGACGGTCGAAAACGCATAAGTTTACAAACGATGACGCCCACACCCACGTTCGCTACTTGATTGGTTCTTAGCAGTCACAGCGTGTCCTTCCTTGATTCGTCACGCCCCTATCACGTGACCCTTACCCGGAAGATCGCAAAAAAACAACATTGATTACCGATCGACTACCAGGTTAATTCAACATGGACAACTGATTACAGGTGTTGCTGACCTTGTTGTCTTTACTAGCAGATGTTGTCCAGTTAAAGTCTGCATTATTACGGAGGAAGCAGCTGTTATTGGAGCGATCAGTAACCAGTGGCGTTATCAGACCTATGGAGCAGCCGTCTGAAGTCACGGTTAGCGGCTTTAGGGACGAAGATGGACACTAAACGAGAGGAAACGAGTGAGAGACGTGTGTTGACCACATTCATGGACCCATAATCTAATAAACCTTTATGTGCAAGTGTTGATTTTAAAGTAAATTTGATGTGTGTGAGAGAGAGAGAGAGAGAGAGAGAGAGAGAGAGAGAGAGAGAGAGAGAG